TAAATCATTATAGTATTACTAGCTAATATTATCTAATATATAAAATATAATTAAAGTATTATAGTATAAATAATTATGAATAGATTATATTAAAGTATATTGAAAGATATCAAAGAATGTTAAAGAATATTAGAGTATATAAAAGCATATTAAAAAATGTGAAAAGATATTGAAGAATATAGAAAGATATTAAAGAATATGAAAAGATATTAAAAGATATAGAAAAATATGAAAAAATATTGAAGAATATCAAAGGATAAGAAAAGATATTTGAGATTATTATCCAAGTATAACTGTTTTACCAAAATTAAAAATGATTTTTCACTATACTATTTTATTATATACATAAATATTATATTATAAATAATAATAAAATATAAATTCCAAATATAATATAATATTTAAAAATAAAAGCATAATAATAAATCTAGTAATAATTAATAAGAAAATAAAGATATTTATAAAATAAAAAAATATGAGTTTGCATAACTAGAGAAAAATTAAGAAATTAAGAAATTTTATGTTATTATAATAATAATAAGATATAAGATATAAGATATAAAATATTAGAAAATAATATTTATATAATTATATTTATTGCTATCAACTTATAAGATTATTTTATTAATAGTTATAAGCAAGATAAAATATGAAATGAATAGTTTTAATTTATAGAACTTATAATTTTTATTATTTAAAATATATTTAGATCTGAGATAAAAGTACAAAATAGAAAGAATATATTTATAATAAAAGAAATAAATACAAAATATAAATAAATTAATAATAATTTTTAATAATCTAATAATTAATGATATAATAAATAATAATATAAATAATAATAAGAAAAAATAAGTAAAAATATAAAGAATAATTAAAAAGAAATTTAATTAAAAATATTAATTATCTAAATTAATAATATGTTAAATTTAATATATTAAATATTGTTATAACAGATTGGTAAATGAATTATCACTTGAATTCACCTTAATAATATTAGATTGAAGAGACTGAAATAATTAAAGATAATGAGAGAGGAATTAGACTATAACTTTTAATAATAACAAAGATTCTAAGATCTGTGCCAATATCTATGGATATTATCTTAATAAAGAATAATTAAATAAAAGAAATGAAATATAAATCAAGAAAATTATAAAGATTAATTAGTGAAACTACTAATGATTAATATAATTCAAGACTTAAAGTTAATTGAATAGTAAAGCTACTATTAATTAAAGAAAACTATTACTAAAGATAAAGAAGTAAAGAAAACTAAAATATGAAAACTAAATAACTAAAAAAAAGTGTGAATTATTTATAATAGAGATCTTTTACTCTCAAATAAAATAAAAAGAATATCTAGAATATGGCTTATTTATAATAAAAATCATCTGCTCTCAAATTCAAAATCAAAATAATATTATAATTCAAAATCCAAAATCAACTTTATATAATCAAAAAAATAAAATCAAGTGCAAGATAGAGTATTAATATAATTATATTATATTTTCTAAATAATTTAAATAAAACCATGAAAGGATACTAATATAATTTATACTTTCCAAATAAATTTTGATAAAACTATTTATTTTAGCTGAAATAACAGATCCTTTTATACTTTTTCAAATACAAAAATTATTATAATATTATTAGCTAATATTATCTAATATATATATTATAATTTAATGTATTATAGTATAAATTTTAGAAATATATATATCAAAAGATGTTAAAAGTTATTAAAAGATGTGAAAAGTTATTAGAGTATGTGAAAAGATATAAAAAGTTATCAGAAATCATGAGAAGTTATGAAAAGTCATCAGAAATCATGAGATATTATCTGTGATTAACATGTAATTATTTCACCAAAATTAAAAATGATCTTTCATTATACTACTCTATTATATATATGAGTATCATACTATAGATAATATAAAAAATATAGATTCCAAATATAAATAAAATATAATATCTAAATATAAAAGTATAATAATAAATATAGTAATAAGAAATAATTATATGATGTAAAAATAGAGATAATTATGAAATAAATAAAAATTATAAGAAAATATAATTTTGCATAATTACAAAAAGATTAGAAAATTAAGAATTTTTATACTACTATGATAATAATATATTAATAATTATCTGTATATCCAGAATGAAATTAATCTTTATAAAAAGTAATATAAAAATTAATTTATAATATAAATAGTATAAAATAAAGATCTAAACTAAAGAAAGATAATTTAATTAAAATTATTACAATTAGATAATAAAAATTTAATTCAAATATATTGCAATTTTATATTTTTTTTAAGTCTATATATTAATATATTATCAATAAAAAGGATTTTTTGTTCTATCTATCCTATTACTTATTCTAATTTTTTAAAATAGTAATTTAAATAGAAATCTCAAAAAAGATAATAAATTAGAATTAGTATTATAGTAAAAAAAGATTTAATATACAAATCTATTTATATTTTATTCTAAAAATAAAAAATTAGAAGATTATTAAAATTAATATTATGAAGTAAATATATTATTTATATTTATTAATAAATATAAGCTTAAATTTTTATTTATTTATTATATTACAAATAATAAAATAAGTAATTTATTTTTTGAAAAGCTTATAATCTGATTGATATTTAATAATAAAAGATTTTATTAGTTCTTATTTTCAAAAAAAAACTCTTATTTTATTAGTATTCTAAATATCTTATGATAAATACTAAGTAATAATAGTATTGTAATAGATGCTAAGTAATAATAATATGTAATTTTTTTCATTTTATATTAAGCTTTACTATAGAGTATTATTACTTTTACTAATTCTCACAAATATTTTTATTTTATATTATATTTTAAACTGTATTAATTATCTTTTTAATCTATAAAATTATTATTTTCCAAAATTAATAATAAATTTTTTTATCTTTTCTATAAGAACTTTATCAGTTAATATTATTTGTCTTGCAAATGTATATTATAATTGGCTTTTTATAACTTCTTTAATCATTAAATATTCTGGTTAATACTCTTTTTTCAGTTATATATATTATCTATTATTTTAAAGTTACAATTATTTATTTTGTTTTTATCAAATATCTATATACTTATATTTTATAAATATAATATTGAATAATATATTTGATATTGCTATATGATTATATATGATAAAAATAATATTAATATGAAATTTAATTGATAAAACACTAATAAATATTAATAATAAAATATATATTAAATTATTAATATAATAATATAATATTATAAAGTTTGATTAATAAGAAAATAAATAAAATTTTCTTATATCTTATTAGTTTGATAAAATTAATAATATATATATATATATAGTATATAGTTTAGTAAAATATATTTCTATATAATATTACTGTAATATATTATATTTAAATATATATATCCTCAAATATATGAAGTTATAAATATTAAAATTAATATAATATCAGGATTTTATATATTCAGATAATTTTATTCATCACTCATTTGAAATTTCTTGTATACTATTTATCAGAAAGCAATTTTAATTGGCCAATTTGGCAGTATTTTATAACAAACTTGTGATATAAGTCAATTTATAATCACTATAAATATATATTATTATGAATATTCATAATAATAGGAAAAAATCACTATTTAAAATTTAATTCTGATATATTGATTTGATATAATAAGGAAACCAGTTCAACAGAATCTATTATAGTAAGACTAGACTATATAATCTTTTCAAGAATGATGAGAATTTTTGCTCTTTGTTCTGGTATGATATGATATTAAGTTTTTTGTGTATTTCAAGAAACTGCTTCATTGCAAAAAAACAGATCAATGAAAAAATATCTATTTAATTACATTTGTATTAGTCTTAAATATGTAAATACTGATTAACACAAAAAAATCAAAATAATACAACATATATTTTACAAAGCTTATCTATATATTTCATGATTGATAGTTAAGAAAATTAAAAAAGATAAAATCATATTTAATTAACTATTAAATTATTATAATTAGTAATTTAATTTAAATTTTATTAGTTATTAAAAATTTTTATCCTGTATTGTATTATTTATAATTGTCACTGTAATTTATATGATGTTGGCAATTTATATTTAACAATAAAATAGATTATCTTTGAATCTTTCAGCACTTTATAAAAAAAATAATCTATAATATTATTCTTTGAGATATGCTCTATAAACTATCGGTCAGAATTTTAGTTTTTGAAATTGAAAACAGATCGTGAGTTTTTGTGATGTGAATCTAATTTTATTGGCTAGCATTTTTTGTAATTCCATAATTTAGACCTAAATTACGAATTAATAATATATATATAATTGATAAACTAAAATGAAAAAGTAGCGTTTTTTATTTATCTTTTCTGTTAATGCTGCCATTATACGTGATCAAATAAATAGATTTTATTGATTAAAAATAAAATGTTATGTGAATTTTCGCTCAGGAACATTGAATCAAAGTCACGTGATTTCGAGTATAAACTTCCGTCGCCATATTTAAAATATAATAACACATTTAATATTAATTATTAAATGAGATTCTAGTCTAATATAAACTCATAATGACTAACTAATAAGAAAAAAAGTTATTACTCAAAAATTTTTAAATGTATCTATCATTACCCATTTATCACCCTCTTTCTTGAAAACAGTTCCTACGGCATAGCAATCCTTTCCTTGAAATGCAATTCCACACTTAACAAGTATATTAGCAGATGAAGAAGAAAGTCCTGTATCATACTGATTTCTGTCTATCTGCTGAAGTGCATCCATAGCAAGTTTCTGGAGATCTCGTTCATCAAATTCCTCATCATCTTTATTCTTTGACTTACATATTTTGAATTCCATAATCACTGCTGTTCGAAATATTATTGCCTTTTCTGTTGGGGTAATTCTATAATCAAATCGTCCATAGCCCTCTGCTCTGTTTGATTTACATTCATGGCCATAATTCCTCACTGAAGCAAGAAGTCCTACAATGAAGAGATGATAATTTGACTCTACATGTTTGTCCGGAAGCTCATAAAATGGCAATGTTTCCTTGACAATAATTTTAAGTTCGTTTATAAAATCTGAAAGCCTGCCAGCCAGCAACTTGTTCACAAGTGAATGTACAGACTTGAAACTGGAGCCTTGCAACCATCTTAGCCATTGTGTTTCCACTTCTTTATTTGGAATGCGTAAGATGTCTCCAATTTCCATGTTAGAGCTTTTATCTTTGGTGAGATAGCCTGCATAATAGAGTAGAGTCCTCAGTACAGCTGAGTCGGAACCATCTAGTGTACCGTAATACAGATCTGGAAGAATTGAACCCTTAATTGAATTTCCATCAAGCAGGCTTATTATGTCATTTTTGAAATTTTCTGTTGAGTGCCAAAGCAGCATACTGATTGTTTGAGTACCTCCAGCTGATTGAGAGAACCATTAATTAAAAATGGGTCAAAAATGTTAAATGGCAACACAGAGTCTTACCTGTATCGACCCAATATGCATCCAATTCTTTCGTACTAATGAACTTGTTGACAGATAAAGGATTATAGATATGGAGGCCATCATAAGCTTCATAGCCATCATACCAACATTTTACAGCATCCTTCTTTTCTGACAACTCATAATGCTCAAGTAAAATAGATGTTTCATCATGAGTAAAGCCAAATTTATCTGCATATCTCTCTGCGTGCATTGAGAATATTTCAACATTGTTGAATCCTGATAGATGACCTGTTTGTGCCACTCGGGACACGCCGACAAGAAAGCCTTTCCACAAATTTTCATTGTCCTGAATAGAACTACAGATTAGAACAGTCCTAGTAAACTCGAAACAATCAAAAAATACTCACCTTTAGAAGTCTTCCCACTAGACTAGCAAATAAATCACGAGCTTCCTCATAATAGCCATGCCGGTATGCAATGTCCATTGGGTGATCATATTCATCGATTAGGACAACACACTTCTTTCTATGATACCTTGCCAAGTGCTCAGAGAGCTCAAACAGTGTGTGTCCAATACGGGGATACTTGTTCTCTTGATATATGAGTTTGAAGCGTTCTCTATCAGCCTCAAACATAGTATTGTTGATAAGATAAGAATGTTCCTTGTATAGCCTTGCTACCAGTCCACGTAAATTATTCACCATTGCATAAAAAGTTGAACAATCTTCAAAACCCTAGAAAAGGCAACATTAGAATAAATAACTCAGCTACAATTAAGAAGAAAGAAGACAATCAGACTTGCAATCTTACTTTTAAAGAGAAACTGATGACCGGATGTTTGCAGAAGTGTCTCTCAAACAGGTCTTGTCCAATATCACATGTCTCAATCAGAGTGCCTTTAAACAATTCCCTTCGATACAGTTCATTGTCAGGATGGATTGGTATGGAAAGAAATTTTTTGAGCATTGTAATGTTTGTCGTCTTGCCAAATCGCCTTGGGCGCAGGACAAGAGCAACATATGTAGGGTCCGCCTCATCGAGGAATTCAGCAATCAAAAGCGTCTTGTCAATAAATGTATGGTTGCCATTCACAACTTCATCGAAGTCACTTTGTCCAAGAAAAAGCTTGTTGCCCACATGCAGCATAACACCATCTGTCATGATGAAGAAATAAATTGAATATTCCTTGTAAATGAATGATTGGTGCACATACCTTTCTTGATCATCATTTGCTGTCTTTTTCGAGGTGGGAATGCTAGAGGAAGAGATTTTGCAAACGTCAGTGATAATGTGTCCCATTTACAATTTAAAATTTGCTGAATTCCAGTTAAAAATTCTTACGTTCATCGTCTTTCTTTCTTTTTCCTACATAATGCATTATAATAGTAATATAACAGGTGATGAGAAAAAGAATAATCGCAATAAGAATAACCATCATGCATCAGGCTTGCTACTACATGAACTCGAATGGGTAACACAGAAAAATAATTAACGAGTAACGAAAAAACCCCGTCTACTCTGCTATTATGCTGTTACTCCACGCCAGGGTACAAAGATATTTAAGCCACAACGCAAGTTGGAATCCATTGATTCAATGTTGCAGCATTCCTCAAAAACTTCAAGAAACTCGAATATAAACTTACCGGTGGAACTATTATCGACAGCAACTGTGAGCATTATAAATGAAAA